TTTTTTTCTTAGGTAAACTCCCCTGCCTCTGTTTTTCTTTTTTCTTAGGTAGACTCTAATAAAAACAATCCTCTTTTACGTCTCTTCCTTCTTTGTTTTGTCACTATATTGGTCCTTTGGAACTTTGTTTGTAGCTTTTGTTGAAAGATGTAATTGACTTCATATTTATGCATTTTATTGTATTTAGCATTTTTTGTGTTAGATTTACATATATCGTAAAAAATATTAAAAAAAAAACGTATACCCAACGTGTCCGTGTCCTAATTTTTTAGGAATTGACGTATCGTTGTGTCCTAACGTGTTCGTGTCCGTGTCCCGTATCCGTGTCCGTGCTTCTTAGGAACCATGGCAGTACCTTGGTATTTGCTATGTTTGTAGAACTATTGATTATGTGAATCGTATATGAAAAACAAGGACAATGTTTTGGTTGGGTACCGTGGCAGTGATTAGGGAGAAAATAATGACTATTATAAAGGCACTTTTGGATATGTGTTTAACATTAGTTCTAGTGCAATTTTTTTCGGGAGAAAAGCTGGGCTTTATTTGACAAGAATGAAAGAATACAAAAGGACAAAAAAAACAGCCCAACAAAAGGAGCCAAACTAAAAGAACGGGCTCTAGTTTAGCAAGACCAAACTTAAGGGAGTTAGTACAAAAAACTTTGGACAATGATATCCAAAGGAAAACGTGAAACCCAGTAAGGGCCCACACCTCCTCCCAACTCCTCTAAAGATTGTTTCTTTTATTCCACAAACTTTGAAAATGGGAGACTGACATTCACAAAAGCACTGAAAAGTAACTTTTTCATGAGGATGAAAGGGAAGCTTGAAAGATTGAAAGTATGGCTCAAGGAGATGTTTGAAATATTAGCTGAATACATATGAGTAACCACTTTGTGTGTTTTTAGATACATAGCCATTTCAAGGTACATGAAGTTTGGTGGATTATATCCATGCATGTACTCATAACTATTTTGTATTTTTCGAATGACATATAAAGGGATGTAAGGGAAAACAATTTTCTTCTCTGGTACATTCTTGAGTTTTGTACGAGAACAAGTTTCTTTTCAAATCGTGATATTTAGAAATAATACTATTTCTGTTTCTAAGCCTCATCACTGCTTGTGAGAGTAACATAGCTTGGATCTATCTATATAAATATTTTAGTCTATTATAAATTCTAATACATATTTTCTTCTTATTTTCAGTTTGCATCGGGAAACTTGGACGGTCCAATTAAGTACTAGCAGCAGTAACACTAATGATCATGTACTTTTAGATTAGACACAGCACCATTCCTAATTCTTTGGAGGCAGCAGAGTAGACCCAGAGAAGCTCATGTCTGTAAATTCTTTTTTTTTTCCTTTTAAAGCTTATATGTCTCCTTTATTCACGTAGCTTTGTCCAATGTCTGCATACTCCTGTTAGAATGTTTTTGTTTAGTAATAGGTAGATGTTAAAAGTACAAAATCATGGAATATGTGAGGATCATTTTAGTATTTCTGCCAAACAAAAAGATCATTTCAGGATGAGGTTTCATCAAATCCTGATCTGCCTAAACTGATTATTTTTGTTCTAATTTTATACAAAATGTGAAGTACAATATCTTTTTCAATCATTTACAGGGTTCAAAGAAAGGGTGGGGTATTGATAAAAATCAATTCCAAATCACAATTGTCAAGGCTCACGCTACAACATGAGTTCGAACAACTGGAAACAGATTTGAATACAGAAAGAGATTCGTACCAGTTGCATTTACTTTCCCATTTGCTTAGTAACAAACAGACAGCTATATTTACTCATTTACGAAGGCTTACCTCAAATTCGATCCCCTTATGATTGCTTCCACTTGAAGAGTATTACTTGCACTTGCACCATAAGTACTAGACTTTGATAAAGTAATGGGGAGTTAACATTATTTCAAAGTATTTTTGTTCCTTTTTTTGTTCACTTTGAAGCATATGGGAATAAAAATGTGAAGTCAAGAAATGTGATGTTTGAAAGTAGAATGGTTGTACTTGGTAATATGTTGGAATGAGATTTGTGAAGTGACAATTTTCTAGAACAATGTGCTATAAAATATCCATTCTCTTCCCTTTATCATGGCATACCAAATGTTACCCAAATGCTATAACATTTTGATTTGAAAACTTAACGTTCTTTGTGCACAATAAATTGAAAGGCATTGACATGCTATGAACATCAAAAATTGAAAGTTTTGGATATGAGATCGATGAAATATGGTCTCTGAAATTTAAAAAACGTCTACTAGATAAGTCTACTTCTAATGTAATAGATCATTGAACGTTTAATTTTGTGTCTAATAGGTTAAGACATTTTTTTAAATTCAGAAATTTATTAGCTACAAAACTAATTTTAGTGTCTAATAGGTTCTTAACTTTTTAATTTTGTATCTAATAAATCAAGAGGCTATTAGATGATCTATTATACATACAATTAAATATTCAAATACTTACTATACACTTTTTAAAATTTAAACATATTAGTATTAGACACAATATTGGAAGTTTAGAGGCTTATTACATAACCATAAAGATTCGGGACCATGCTTGTAATTTAACCATAAAATTACAAAAAGACAATTTATGTTTTTTTTAGAAGTTGTTCGACTTGTTTATGTAACGTGAATTTAAAAAGATAATTTATGTTTTTTTTTTTGCTTTTTTCAAAAAAAAAAATACAATTTATATTTCGTAGGTAGATTGATTTATTCCATATTGTAAGTTTATGAATGTAATCTTTTTTTTAGTTCAACAATCACAATGATGGGAATCGAACCATTGACATTTGAGATGGTAATTCGTCCCTTCACAAAGTCATATGGTCGGAGTGACATCTAACTAGTTGTATATATTCATCTTATATAAATTATTTAATGTTATATACTAACTTTACATAGGTTATGCAAATTGAGGTTTGTATGACTTATTTCTTTATACAATTCAAACACAGCTTAATTTACTCCAAAAAGTGAAAAAAGAAACAAAAAATCAAACACAAATTTGGTTTCAACCCATGAGCCAAACATCCTCATCCTCTTGGGTCTTGAATTATGAAAAACAAATACTTTTTTTGTAGTTAAATAATAGTATTTTACGTTAAACTTTCAAACTTTCAGTTTTTTTAAATTAGCTTTCACTTGAAACTTTAACGGTTGTTGCAATTTTAACCTCTAGGTTTTCATTTGAAAAATTATTCTCAGTAAAATGAATTATAAAACACACCCTTAATATGAAAAGATATGATTCAAACAAAAATGAGATTAGAATTTGTTTTTTTTTGGTTGAAAATTTGTAAGTTTGATGTAGTTTTTTAGTGGTCGATTTTGTACAGTAATAAAGCTTAATTTCGTGTCGAGTTTTATTTTCATTAAATTAGTGAATTTTGAGAGTTGTTTTACTTCTTTTTTTTTTGTTTAATTATCGAGTGAATTAGCAAAAATTTAATATGATTAAAATTGCACCACTTGTCTAGGGTTCAAGTTCAATTTGATAAAATTAAAAGTTTAGGATGAAAATTGACGTGGGAATGGGTTCAAACCATAGCGGTCACCTACCTGGATTTAATATCCAACGAGTTATCTTGGCAACCAAATGTAGTAAGGTTAGGCGGTTGTCCCATGAGATTAGCTAAAATGCGCGTAAGTTGGTCCGAACACTCACGGATATAAAAAAATTGAAAATCGATACAACTTATCGAGCTTAAGAGTAAAAAATAATTTTCCCCCTATTTTAATCATATTTATACTTTCCATGTTTGTTAGAGTTATTTAATAAAACAAAATAAATATTAAACTAGATTAGTACCGCATGACTTTTGGTCCAAAACAATGTCTTAACCAATTGACATATGTTCATGTTCGATGTCAATGGATACTTCTAAAAAAAATTATAAATATTAAAAAATTCAAAATAAATATTTAAATTTTACCCTTTTTAAAATAAGCTAAAAATTATTAACATTAATATTATGTTCATACCAATGATATTTCATCGGTTTCTTTTTTATTTTGTTGATTTCTTTACAATAGTACAAAAATGTCGATTCACCCCTCATGTCAATGTTGAACCATGAACATATGGAAATATCAAACACGTGGACGGAAATTTAACACCTTAGTCTCTATCAACACTAGCTTTGAAAATATATTAAAGAAAAAAGGCACAAAGGTCTAGAGTAGTTGTGTCATTGGAAGATTTCCCTTCATTCTATTACAAAAGGAAAGTATTAAAAGGAAAAAAAGGCCTCAAGTAATAGAATAGACTAAAGATGTAAAAGGAATATACAGATATTTGATAATGAGTTGGTTCCACAGATGTGATTAAGGTTTGGTGTGGAGGAAGTAGTTTCTTGCTCTAGCAGAACACAAAAGGGAAGCAGTACCAAAGTAGAAACTTACAAAGGCACTCAAACAGAAAACCCAAACCGATATCGGTCCCTCCATTTCGTTATCTAATATCTTCCCCGGAACAGTTGGAATACCGGTCGAGCGACACCCTTCGCCCGAAGACTCCACACACAAGTCTGGATTCCCAGCAAATGCTCCTGGAAACCGCTCGAATCCCTGTTTCTCCGAAACCAAACCCGAGAAGCAGTTATACGACAGATCGAGGAGAGTTAAATCCTCAAGGCTGGATATGTTTCCTGGGATCTCACCAGACAGATAATTGTGGGACAAATCTAAGGCTCTCACTCTCTGCATTTTCTCTACCCCACCAAGCTCACCTTCAAGAGAATTGTGTGATAAGTTCAAGTATTGCACACCCTCTAGTGAAAATAGACCGTCTGGGATCGACCCGCGTAGTACATTATTCGACAAGTCGATTCCAACAGCTGATAACAGATCATAGTTGAATCGTAACTCGCTCCCAACATCCACAACTGTAGAAACTTTGAAGTCCACAACCTTCTTTCCCGCAAACGCTTCTTTCGACGGTCTACTGATGTTGCCACTGTTAAAATTTGAGCTAATGTTGAAGTTGACGTCCGGTATGGAGCCGGAGAATTTGTTGTTTGAGAAGTCCATCAGCTGAATGACTTCAAATGCAAACAGCCAACTAGGTAGGTTTCCAATGAATTTGTTGCGAGCGAGGGAGAGATATCTCAGGTTCGACCATTTCGTTACTGCATCGTTCAAATTTCCCGAGAGATTGTTGGAGCTTAAATCGACAATCTCCAATGATTTACATCCTGCCAGAGTCAATGGGACTTCACCAGAAATCATGTTGTTGCTGATGTCCAAGATCTTCAGACTATCCAATGCATCGAGCTCGGGTTGAATCTCTCCAGAAAGATTATTGTTGTTAAGTATCAAAGCAAGTAGTTGAAAGCATCCGACAATGTTCAACGGAATCGAGCCCGATAAGTAGTTATGTGAGAGATCAATGACTTGGAGATAAGTAAGATTCCCAATCCTTGCAGGAATTTCCCCCACAAGGACATTGTGTGACAGAAACAAAGCCTGCAAACTCCTCAGTTCTGTGATCTTTGATGGAATTCCACCTGAAAATCGATTGTGAGACAAGTCAAGAAGAACAAGCCCCGATTTCTCTATCGTCTCCACAATCTTGTTCGGTAGAGGGCCAGATAGATCATTGTTACTCAAGTCCAGCACAAGTAGCTGCTCCGAAAASAGGAGTCGAGGCGACATCTTGTAAGTTAAATGATTGGACGATAGATTCAACTGAACCAAAGCACGAAGCGACGCRATGCACGTCGGTACTCCTCCAAAAATAGAATTGTTAGCCAGATTCAGAACAGTGAGAGACTGAGCAGAAGCTGAAAAACAAGGCAAAGTCCCAGAAAACCGATTCGACATGAGATTGAGCGAAACCAAAGGCTGATGGAAATCAAACACACTGCCCCTCAAGTAGTTGTTTCGAAGATCCAAAAACCTCAGCGATGTCGAGTTCAACAAACTCTCAGGCAGTTCACCACTAAAYGAGTTGAAACCCAGATCAAGTTTCTGCAGCTTTGTTGAGAAGTTCCCAATCCAAGAAGGAACAGGACCCCCCAAGTCTAGGTTCCCAACCAAAACAAGCTCCTCCAAGATCTCAAGCTTCATCAATGTCTCAGGCACGGCGCCCTGGAACCGATTCCGACTCAAATCCACGGTCCGAAGGYGGATCAAACTGCCCAAACACAGCGGAATCGAGCAAGAAAAGTTATTCTGGGACAAAACCAGGTGCTCAAGAAATGAGAGGTTACAGAATCCAGGGCTAATTTGACCAGACAAGTTCATATCAACCAGTTGAATGGAAACCACTCTCCCAGTCTTGTTTTCACAAGAAATTCCAGCCCAATCTGAACAGTTAGAACCCACCCAGCTTGACAAATTCTGATTAGGGTCTTGGAGCCATGATTTAAACATCAAAAGAGAGGCTCTGTCTTCCGGGTGAAGCTCCACTGATTGGGAAGGGTTTAAGCAGAGAATCAACAAGAACAACACAAACAGAGCATGCCAATCGAAAACCCATTTCCATTTCTTGCCCATCACCGACAATCGAACCAATTTCCCAAAAACCCCAAATCAACAGCACGCGAATTCGATAACTACACAGATTGA